TTACATCCGATCAATTTATATGATGAAACACAAAGACATATTTGATGTGGCGAGTATAGATGTCGGTGCGCTAGCAAAGTAGTTTATTGGGATTTAGGCTTTTAGAGGCTTAAAAAAGTTTTTATTAATGATTAGCATTATCTTACAGTCTTGAGTTATCCTTTTTAATCGAAATTTTTAAGTTCCTATGGCCTGTCTACTGCGCCGCGACTAAGGTTCCTGACTCGTGCTTCTCGGAACAACAAAAGAAACGCACAGTCTAAGGATGATGAAGCTGTAAAGGAAAATGGGAATAGAGAAAAAACTTGTTCTGAACTACTAGATATGTTTATGGAAGCTGGGAGGTCGGATGAAGCGAATGTAAATTTTATGAAGTTTGTAAACTTTTTATTCATAGGAAATCGTTATGGGAGAATCTACATTTTCTTCAGAAAAATGAAGCGGAAGTCAGCAGTGTTCAAGAGAAACTTGACCAACATGATGAAATGGATCCGGATCCGACTGATTTGAAAACCGCCCAACTATTGAGTGATGAAGAAAGTAATGACAAGGAGGAACTTTTCAAGCTGAAACGGCAGGATATTTTCCATGTGCTTGACAGAGTAATATTTTGTTTCGTCTTCAGAGATGGCTTTCTTATTATAATGTGAATTGTTTATTTCAATGCTTTACAGTTTAATTATAGGAGGAACTGGACTCTCCTTTGGCTGAAAAGGCACCTGTAAAACCTCTCTCTCGAGCTGCTTTAGCAAAAAAGTTGATTAGGAAGGGAATCCAATTAAGTGAGAAAAAGATATTTGCAGATGAAGATGATTTGCCAAAGGTCTGAAACGTCTTTTAAAATTCAAAACAGCTTTTATTAAGTTTAAAGGAACAGTTTTCAGGGAGAAGATACTGTTACGGAACCTATTAAAGCAAGTGAAGAATTTAATATTGAAGAGGCAAAGGCGGAACTTGCTGCAGCAGATACTTCAGACAAGATCGTATATAAAGAAAAAATTAGGAAATTGCGGAAGGTAACTGTGTTTTATTGTTTCAGTTTTTATGGCAGTAGAGATGCTTTTTGGATAGAAGGCAATTTAGATTTTTTATGGACAGCTAATTTTTAGGTGTTTTAATTGCTAGTTAAATTTGGTCTTTAGTTGTTTTCTATTTTACTAATGTATTCTAGGCGAAGAAGCTAAAGAAACGTTTAGCAAAGGAGAAACAGGATGTAAACAAAGATGAAGCGTCGATTGATCTTGGTGTCGAAGACGAAAGCGATGGAGACGAAGTTGATTTATCTTGGTTACCCGATCCTGACAAGCCTAAGAAGTACGACGCTTTATGGAACGAAATGTCGGATGCTGAAAAGGAAGTTGGTCTTATTTTTTTTGAAACAGGTTCTTTAGCTAAAATGAAAAAACATGTTTCATATGTGACTGGCTGGCCAGAAGTTATTCTTTTTGATATTTTGTATCACTTGCTGGAGCAATTCAGAGAGTCTGCAGATAGGTTTAATTGTTAAAAAAATGATCTAAAAAAATCTATTAAAGGTAAATAGGCTAAGCTTAACTGCCTTTTTAGATTGAAGGCGCTAATTCATCTGAAGAACGTAATTTGGTCACTGCGGCAAACAGTCCACCGAAAAAGCGAAGAAGGAAAAGTGTCAGAAGTATTGAAAACGAAGCTTTAAAACTTTTGGGCTACAGTTAGATGTATTTCACGCAGTTCGTGTTATGGACAAAAATATGCGGTTTTTTCTTTGGTTGTGTTGTCCAAGTTTTCTTTTTTTTAAAAGATGTTGCTAACTGCTTTATTAAAAGCTTGTGTTTGTAGTCTTGGTAGTTCAGCAGTTATAATGGTTCTCCAACTCTTGGTTTATCATCTCTTCTGTTTAGTTTCTGTGTGCTAAACAGGGCGGGTTGTTTGCCTTTGTAGTTGTATATATTGACCCTGTTCGGTATTGAGCATTGACACATGCATGAATTATTTTCCATAGCCGTACTGCAAAATTTTGAATTCCAATTTGTTGTTATAAAAAACACTGCTATTTCCGAAGGACTTATTTAAGAGTAAAAGCCTTGACGCAGAACATATCGCTGAATTAGATGGCTTTCAGTTCCTATGTAGCTCCATTATTTCAACATGATACTTTGAATCTTTTGTCCTGCAGCTGCTATCGCACGATCCTGCAGTTTTGAAAATTTAATTTTTTTTAATGACATGGGTCATTTTCCAGCTAGATGGCTCAGCCGTATAAACCGTTGCAGAGGTTTCCTAGTGAGAAAGTAGAGAGTAAACTCAGTGAAGATGTACTTTATTGGAGACGGATGAAGGTATTTAAGTAAATGCTTATTTAGTTTGTTTTAGGTAAATCAGTCATAAAGTGTTTCAGAATTTTATTAAATCTTGGTGTTTAATTATAGCAGTTAGCTGTCTTTCAAGAATCTGGAAATATAACAAGTGTTTCTTTTTCTACATCAGTACCTAATTATGTTGCCAGCACGTCATCTGTTCGCGTAAGTTACCACTTATAATTTTTCGAAAATCGTGCGTAATTATAAGTAATAGTGTGAATGACGAGTCTGACTTTTTTTTATACAGCTATCAGTATTTGATGTTGCGGTTTGCGAACCTATCTCTGTGTGCAGTCGCTTTAAGGAGGCAGTTTATGGAGTAACATTTCGGAAGGATGGCAAACTGATTGGTAATATTTTTTGATTCCTGAAGAAATTTGTCTTGCAATTAATGAATAATTTGATTTAGCTGTTGGGAGTCAGGATGGAAGAGCAAGAGTTTTTGATGTGGTAAAACAAGGGACAATTTTAAACAAAGCTCCTTTGCGAAGTTATAAATCTCAAGGGTGCCCCATTCACGCAGTTTGTGCTTTCTTTTAATCTACACATATTTTTCTTTATATAGCTAATTTCAAGAAAGAGGTTTTGAATTGTCTTTTTAGCTCAGCATACTTACTTTATATTGAGCGAAACAGTGCAATTGTTTTACTTGATCTTGAGAGTACCAGTTACCTTCGATTTTAAAACAAGTTTTAGGTGCTTTTCTCGGCCTCAGGTAAAAAGCTTATTGTCCTTGGAGATGACGGGGCAATCAGACTTTATGACATTGTTGAAACAAAGGCTGTGCCACTAAAGGTGCTTGAGTCGGCTCATGCTGACCATATCAGATGCGGAGACACTTCAAAAACATCAGATTTACTTTTTGCCACAGGTTTCTTATTTATTTTTTATATAGATGATTCTTATTTTAAAACGGATACATAATCAAAAGTTTATTGCGTTCTTCTGCTATTATTCAGGTTCATACGACCATACTGCAAAGGTTTGGAACCTTGAGTCAGAAGAAGATAAGCCTTTAGTAACTGTGGATCATGGAGCTCCGGTTGAATCACTTTTGTTTATTTCGGAAAGCTCGTTACTTGCTACTGCCGGCGGCCAACTGATAAAGTTGTGGAATATAAGTGTTGGCGGAAAACTGCTTTATACATTACACAATCATCATAAAACAGTAAGACCGTACTCCTTTGGTTTGGCGTTTTGTATGCTCTGATAAAATCTTTCAGGTGACAAGTCTTTGTCTTGCTTCAAACGGTAATACACTACTATCTGGAGGTCTCGACAAAAGAATCAATGTTTACAGGCTGGATTCTGGGGACTTTAGTTTAATTCATGCTTTTACTATGCCTGCACCAGTATGTTTTAAAAGCATTTCTAGTTCACATTCAAAATATCTGACTAAGTGCTCGTTTTAACCATTATTTTTATCTTAATTACAACTATACATCACTACTTTTTTTAATTTAAGAAAAACTATTTTGTATAACAGTGGCTTTTTACTACTTAAATCATTCATATTTACGGGTTCTTCTTTATTGTACGGAGCGAAATGAAAGCTTTAACGGTATCATCGAAATATTTAAAACTTCAAATTTATTCAGGAAAAAGTTGAAAAGTTACTGGTTTGCAACTACAGTGTGACTGCTTGTTTACTTTTTCTCAGAGCCTTGAGAGGATCAATCTTACTAGAAATTACCATTTTTGATTTTATCTTTCTGTCAGCAAATTTAGCGCAGGAATTTTTTATAGGTTTTTGGACTGGACATATACTTTTTCACTTCGTTTATTTTCTTGACGCCTGAAGTGAAAAACCTATATTTGTTTTCCCGTTGAATAAAATCGGCATAGAAACACCTAGCTCTTGAAAACCTTTTTTATAGGGATTGAGAGGCTACACTTTAGTTATCTATCAAACGTTATTATTTTAACTTGGTTTTTTTCCCTACCTTTTTAAATGAAGTGTTTTGTTGACCATCGTGAACACCAAATTTAGGACAATGTAAGGAACCAAAAAACCCTAATTTTTTCGCACTTTTTAATTTTCGGAGAGTGGCTATTAGCTTCTAGCAGTTTTTCTGTGCAAGTTATTCGTAGTCTCCAGCAAGTTTTATGTTGGTGAACAAACCTACCTTCGTGCTCATTTTGGTTGCACAAAAGTTTTGGCTTTATAGATGCTGCCATAACATGAAACAGGACCTCTTGAAATTTTAAAGCATTTATTGTTTTTTTATTTGCAGGTTTTTGCACTTTCCGTCTCTCTTAACGACAGCTTTATGGCAGTTGGTATGGGTAATCTTCTTGGCATTTTTCGCCGTGAAGCACCAGGACCGCTTGAAGCGACTTTGAGTGAGGCAAAGTTGCTTGGGAAGGGCTTAGAATACAGAAGAAGGTGGGTTAAGTATTGGCATTAGCCCATTCTTAATTCCTGAGTTATAATTCTTAAATTATACATCGGAATATACTTACAGTTCCGAATCATCTTTTAATTTAGTACGCAGCTTGGAACTGGACGTATAAAGCAACAACAACGAGGAGGGATATCGGAAGAAGTTGAAATTACTGCTAAGGCAGTTCCTAAGGTACTGTTCATGAA